CCCAAATGCTGAGGGGGAGGGGGGAGGGGGGGGAAGAGAGAGAGAGAGAGAGAGAGAAGCTTTTCTAAATTATTTTCTAAATTATTTTCCCAAGGGAGGAATTTATTTTAACATAGAGGTAATGAGATAATCTCTTCCACCGTAACCATCATACCAGTCAGGCTTATAGCATCAATTTTTTTTTTCTTTTTTCTTCCTAGCATTTTCTCACAGGTGCAGGGTCCACACACCCCACCCCCCCCCGATCAACAAAATGTTGATCCATTGGTTGTGACAGGAATTAAGGAATTGTGACAGGAATTAAACCAACTGGCTTGTCGCCTGAGCCTGACATCATGGGCTGACTGGTCCAAAGACAGAGAGTGACTGGTCCAAAGTCACCCAGATGGTTTTCATGCCTAAGGCAGGACTAGAACTCACCATCTCCTGCTTTCTAGCCTGGAGCCTTAACCATTAGAGCAAACTGTCTCTCTTGGCTTATAACATTAGCCATGATACCTTCATGAAATGAAATTGCATTGTTGGTCTGTTACATTGGTAATTCCATCTTCTTGTTTAGCTACATGGAAATTCATGATTCAAGGACAACATAATATGAGTACATAGTGACATAAAAACCTGCATTTAATTTTAACAATTCTAAGTTGAAGTTGAAGCCCACATGTCTTAAAGTTGCCAGGACTGAGAAAACACTGGTTTAGATTGAAACTTTCAGTTCCTTTTTTAATCATCATACATAGCATAATTCATTATTGTCCATTATGATTAACAAATCATTCAAAAATATACTTTGGGGGTGTTGAAGATATAGTTTCTAATTATAACGTATGTATTGATTTTGGGGGGAAAAACACATATCTTTCTAACCAGGACTTTTAGCTAAACTAAAAACCCTTCAAATGGAAAAATAAGTGATAGATATTTTAGCAGAAGATAGGATCTTTCTGAATCTTATTTATTTGTTTTGTAATTGCAGATAAAGGGAAGGAACCAGACAGGACCTCCTGCCCACCAACCCTGATTTTACATACTGAAATGAAAAATAAGCCTGCAGAAAATGAAAATGAGAAGGTTAGTTTCTCGTTGTTTAATTCTGAGTTGAGAAAGACATTGATTTTGTTCATAAATTTCTCCTGCAGTACAGACATATTCCAAAGTTTGCAGAGTTTGTTTATCTTCCTGCATTGCTTCATCCTCCATCTCCTCAATGCAAGCCAAAAGAGTGGACCCACATGGAGAAACATGCAAATGGTTGACAGTGAAGTGGCAGATAAGAAGGGTTCGCCTGAGGAAGAAAATCCACTGAGGCTGTTTGGCTTAAGAGTTCCCCACAACCTGTAACTAACATTACTGAGACAATAAAGAAAATGTAAATTGTGAAAACCATTAGCTCATTGATAAACTTAACAGAATTGAATCATACATAGAGAGTGGTTTATTTCTTCTACAAATTTAACAAGCATTTATTCATAAATTTTGTGTCTTGTACATAAGGTTACTGTTATGGGGGCTAAGTACCAACAGCCATTATCTTTGTATTCACACTGCCACCCCTCTGTCTGTCTCATTATTCAGGAATGGCCAATGTAAAACCTTCCATGTGTTGATGAAATCCAATTCCCGTCATCTTTAGCCGTGATTAGATACAAAATTAACTGTGAACTAGTTCTATGACATAATGTTATGTGCACAACCTTGACCTCTTTGAGGAAAGGTGTAATATGTAAATCTTACAAAAAATACTTGTTAGAATGTAAATAAAACACATAATATAATAATGTCTTTTGCTGATTAATCTCTGTTTGTTTCTGAAGACTCATTCTTTAAAACTACTCCCAGATGATGAAAACACTTCAAATGGTAACAAGCCTGTTGCATCTACTCCTGTTCCAGGATCTCCATGGTAAGTATATTTAGGAGTGATATTTTTTCTTCACTATTTGGGCAACTGCCAAGCATAAATTAGAGATCTGCTATATCATTGCTAACTGAAAAAAAGGAGAAACATATAATATTGGATATTATCCAATGTTTGTTTTTCAAAAACTGCCACCTTGAATATATCCCACTGCCCTCACAACTGCACAAATCAATGAAACAAACATAGATTTTTTCTTTCTATTCTGCTCCATCCTTTATCCTTGCATTGTTGCAAATCTGAGATTTTATTTATTTTATTTTACTTATCATATTTATATAGCCGCCCATCTCATACAAGGTGACTCTGCAATATTATTGATATAAAAAGGACATTAAAGAACATATATCCTGAAATTTAGGCTATATTCCTAATACACTTATTCTTAAGTATAGGTACCTGGAAGTGAATCCAATTTAACTCAGTGTGGTTTACTTCCATTTAGATATTCATAGGATTGTAGTGTCAATCATAAGCTAGCCCAGTAAGAAATGTATAAGATACCTCTAAAAGTAGTTTGGCATTTGATTCATTTTTAGGGAAATAATTTTCAGTAATTATATTGCTATGCTCATTAATGCAAAAGACTTCATTCACCTTTTCTCCTCCTTTGGCTCATCATGCTGGTCTATTAGATGATCCATCACAGAATCACACTGAAACATGGAGCGAACCTTTAGGGAATATATTATTGATTCATGATTCTTTAGATATGAAGTCAAAAGATCAGTATATCAAAGCCCACAAAGAATCACCACATCTGATAAAAATGTGGAATTGATCCCAAACCCTCTCCACTCATAGGCTGGCTCCATGCTTCTGATCGATTCTGTGGTTCATGTGACATTACCAGGCAAACGCTGGGATGTCATTCAGAAGCAAAAGCAGGAAGTCTTGAGAGAGATTCCAGGTTATGCAGCTTAAAAGAAAAGGTGAGTTTTGATTACTCTTGGGCAGCTACTTCTCTCACATTAGCTCTGATACACTACGAAGTCTATGAGACGGTTATATCATATACATATTTTCTGTCATTCAGCTACATTAAGAGAAGCTAAACCAGTCACTACATGATCAACTGGGGGACCAGGCAAGCAAGTGGAGAATTACTTTTGCTAGGCACTGAAGAGTGTTCATTAAACAATATACTTTGTTCTTCCTTGTTCTCTTTGCCCCACATTCTGGATCACTATTTTCCAGGCCAGTTTTGAACCCTATGATAAAATTTAGACTGAAATGTTTAGTTCCTTGTTATCAACATACAGTACAGTGGTACCTCTAGTTACGAACTTAATCCGTTCCGTGACTCTGTTTGCAACTAGAGTTGGTCACAAGTCGAAGTAAAGTTTCCCATAAGGTTCAATGTAAATACGGTTAATCCGTTCCGCCCTCCAAATTTGGTCGCACCACAAGGCAAATTTCCCCATA